GAACAGTACAAGGATATTTACCCTGTGATCCTATTTACACGTTATGCGTCATTATCAAACAGACTGCTATCCGATTGGATATACACATTACAAATGGCCATGTAAATGTGACTCCGCAAACGACATATAAATCCATTCTACTGTTTACATTCATGATTTTGCTAATTAATGTTGAATTAAATAAAAAATAAAATGAATTTGAAAAATGTAATTCATTTTAAATTAAACATTGAATTAAAAATGTAATTAAATCCAATTTAATTAAAATTTTGAGAGCATTTCTGAGGAATTCCTATGGTAATGCACATTGCGTTTACAATTGGCCACATAAATGTGAATCTGCAAATCACATTTAAATTCGTTCTACTATTTTTCCATCCATGATTTTGCTAATGCCAGGCAGCAAATTAAAATTTTATTTATGAATTTATAGATAAATAACATTTAATTTATACATCAAATAAAATACTGAATTAAATAAAATAAATTTCATTAATTAAATTACATTAAACCTCGAGAGCATTTCTGAGGAGTCCCTATGAATATGCACATTGCATTTACAATTGGCCACATGCATGTAACTCTGAAAATCGGACAGCAAATTTATATTTAAATTTGTATTATATTTGCTATATTGCTGGAACCTGGCATTAAACTGCTTTGCTAACTCTTGGTAAACTTTTGGAAATGACCTACAATGTTAGCCTAAAACAATTCTTGCTAATTGGCTATTGGTTAACGAAAACACACATTTGTTGAAAGATCATACACGGATGAATCATTCACAATGACGCATGAACGTGTATCAATAAGGCCCATGGTGATTTCATGTTGATTTTGAAATCATTCTCCAAATTTGGCACCTCTCATGAGACAAATACATATTTGCGATATGAATCACATTAGTAAGCAAAGTAACTTATGAGATGCAGAATATAATGCCAAGACTGCTGAGGACCAGACAATATTTTGATCTCCATCTCACCGACACCACTTTTCACACCAATTCTGATCCACAATCAAATATTTACGATACTGCTTTACGGTCCACAAACTATTTTACATGTCTCCCTTTAAGCAGGCAGCATTAGAAGACGGACAGCTTTAATAATGCCTCAGCCGTTAATATTACAGCTTATTTCCTCCCTCCAGTTTGTAAAATATGTAATTTTATATCCTACGTGTCCTTTTAAGGTTTCTCCCAGCTGTTTCGCAAATATAAACGGGCCTTTCATTAAACAAAAACACTGTGGGGACTGTAAATGAACTTATTTGAAATGTCCCGGAGCACTGAAGTACCATGAGCTTTAACGGTCTCATAGTATATCACACATCGCAGAAGGAGACCATTTAATATCGGCAATAAATGCAGGAACAACCCTGTATATCTGCATGCTGCTGGTTTCACATTCAAACTCAAGGTGAAACGCTACTGAGGCCTTCAATGTCAAATCAGGGTAAAACAAGCAGAGCGAGTGAGCGCATACAGCGATAGGGTAATAGAAAAGCGATGGCAGTCAGATAACATTGTGTGAAAATATCGATGGCTTACAGAGATTTGCAGGCTGTGTTGTGGTTGGCTCGGTCCGAGTCCTCGCTGATGACAGAAGAATGTCATATGAGAGCAGAGAAACTGCAGACTCCAACTTCCCTCCGACATACATGGGGGAAAATGTTTTGGCACCAGGACAAATACAGTGATTTTGGAAAAGAAGAAAAACAGAAATCTGTCATGGTCAAAACAGTCAAAGCAAAGGACACAGCAACACTCACATTGATGATAAAGTTTTTATTCTGAATATACTTGAACATGAATTTTAGACAGTTCCAGGATTACAAACAGTTGGCTTTTTACCTAATTTCTGCCGTAGATCATTATTTTTACTTTTTAAATGAATTAATATATATTTTTTAAACAAATATACAGACTGTCTGAATCAGGCAAATCAAGAATCACAAAAGTCTTATGCGTAAATCAGCGGTCGTCAGTGTTCTGAGGCTCACGGACCGCAGAAAAACAATGCTAAACACAAATAATAAAATCCTATTGAGCATATAATCTTGCATGGACCTTAAGGTCAATGCCATATTTAATTTTATGTGAAGGAAAACAATGCTGTGAGGGATGAACATACAGTTGGTTGTACTGTTGTATACCTTGGTGTTGATCATTCATCCAAAAAACATAAAAAATTCTAGCAAAAAAAACAAACAAATAAAATAAATAAATAAAACTCAAATTCATTCAATTTAATTGAAATGAATTATTTAAAAAAAATACATTATGCCACATTTAAGAGACTGTATGTCTAAATATAAGCTTTTAAAAGGAAGGAGAAAACACTTCCTATATATTTTGTAGTTGACATCAAAATACCTTGGCGTAATTTAATTTGTCGTTTTAATAGAAGCTATTTAACCAAATTAGGCCGATGACACAGTCATTTCAAATTGTTCAAAATCCTCAAAATTATGCATGGTGGAAAAAAAAAATACAACCCAGACTACATTAAATGCAGGTTATGTTTGGTATTATTAGGGTCACCACTTAAAATCTGGTTCCTGAAGCAAAACCAGATGCGAACCACTGGATGACTGTACAATTAAGGGGGACTGAAAATAAGCCCACGGATATGTCCTCCAAAACCCTGACCGAGGCAGACTGACAGCCAGCCGGGAGGCAAGTGGAGGCAGCAGGATCTGACTGACCACTTAAAACACGCTGCACACTATCGGACAGTTCCAGAGATCAAAACCCACACTGACCACAAGACAGAGAACCAAAACGCCAGCTACAAAACCCCTTTCTAAATCCATTTTGCAATGTTCTGTTCCTGAGGTGACCGCATCTGAGCTCAGTCTACAGGAAGTTAAACGAAAGCCTTTCTTCGTCCCGGTTTGTCTGAAGAATTAAGTTGCTAAATCTAATTCAGTATTTTCCAAGGAATAATATGAATTGATCTCATATTTCCCCTAAACATCTGTCTTTTTGATATTCTAGAAAACACTTTCACCTCTATTACGGTATCCAGTAAACAATTTCTGTCAGAAGCTGGAGACCCTTAATGCTTTCAAATACTGGTCCCAAATCAGTTTTGACATTTAAGGTTAAGGTTAGGCTTGGATCGTCAGGATCGGGATACGTCTCGCTTCAGAAAAAGAAAAAGGCAGTGAATGCTAAGGTGAGAATTTCAGCGAGATTTCGCAAAAAAAGGTCCTTTGTCAATAGTGTAGCGATGAATGAAGCACAGCTCACACAAAAGTCACTTTCAAAGCAAGCAGCCTTTTGTTGGCGAAGATGGCAAATTTGCAAAATTTGCATCCGTCCGCATGCGATGCTCAAGATCACACAGATTCCTATAGAAATGAATGGATTTTATCCGCCTTTAGACTGTGTGTCCAGAATGGAATTTTAGCATACTACAGTATATACTGAATACTGCGCATATGTTCTGCCGCTTTAAAAAATAGTAGATATTATACCACTCTAAACATTCCAAACAGTAGAATGCTACATTGTGACATCATCGCATGGGAAACAGAATGTTTAATTTGCATAAATGTGTAAATTTTTGCAGTCAGTTTGCTAAAAAACAAAGGTCAAGTCGGGTGCATTGCATTGTGGGATACAGTATTCCATGCAGTGAGTGTGCTGTTGAATACTGCATATCTTAGCAAAAATAGTTGGTCTTCTGGGAATTTTGTATTTGTATATTGAAAATTTGCATACTGCCTATAGTATACATACAGCGAATATAGTAGTAGTATGCTATTCTGAACAGAGCTGTAATCTGTTACTTTACACACTCCAGCATCTACAGAGGCAAATGTAACATCACACACACAGAAGCCGATCGTAATTCGTCGAGTTAACGGTCTGGAACTGGAGAGGTTTTCAATCATTTCTAATTTTGACACAGCCAATTAACTACGTTTATGGTCATTTTTGATCATACACTGATTTAATGCACATCACTTCTAGAATGCTTGTCTGATTACAGCGATGAATCACGGAAAGATTTCGAGAAGAATGGCTTTTCAACGCAAGCCATATCCACAAAGTCCAATCATGTTGTTTTCAGGTGCATTACCAAAACCGTTTCCTGTGTACGGATGAAATGATGCATGAACTAGCAGTGATGTTGCTCACTAGAATTCACTTTCCATCCCGGATTTGATGTTGTGTGTCTTCATGTCTTTTAATTTCCTGTTTGTCTACGCTTCTAAAATTAGAAAGAACACAATGATGGTAATCAGTGCTGACAGAGACCCAAACGACTTTGTACATGTATACTCTAAGCCAAAACCAATGCAAATAAGGTTCAGCAGCCATTAATAACTTGCAGAAGCCATCTGTTTGCTTTTAATTAATCATAATTCATAATCAATACAATATTGAATAAAATAAAATTCGCTTCAAAATAAAAATAACTTGGTTAACTGAAAAAGAACTGAATGCTGAATAACTGAGCATTACTTAATGACTGAATAGAAAACCAAAACAAATTTGCTTTGCTTTTTCACAGACATAACATGTAACAAGTAATCATTTATAATTGGAGTCACATCCCCCCATGAATTTTTTCTCTATAAATCTCACCTACTTTTACTATATATTTCATATTTTTATATTTAATTTAAACAAAGTATCAGTAGAAGTAGTGGCAATAATAATAACAAAATAAATAAACCAAAGTAATTCAAATAAAATATATTATTATTATAAACAAATATAAAGCTGAAAAACATTTTAAAAACGTGACATTTTAAAAACATTTTGTGAGTAGTTCAGGGCTTCCGTAATTATTCTTGTCTCTTCTCAAAGTCTTAATTATTTCATAAATGGCCCAGATTTCACTGAGCCACAAAGATCCAGTAAGGTTCTCTTAAAGAGACAGAAGGTTCATTTTGGTCAGATCAGAATGACGATATTTTGCATTTTTCTGCAGAGTGATCAGGGTCAGATTGCACATTGTGATATTCATTCACTTATTTTTATCTGAATCCATTCACATCAAGGCACATTGACAGGAAAGAAAGGCTGACAGAGCTCTGCCTCTGACATTAAAGTGAAAAATGACACACCAGTGACAGCACAACCAGGGGCAACATTTCTTATAAAAACTCTTGAGTGTCTCAAAATATCTGTAAACATTAGATCATTTTCTTCCCACCTTTTTGAGTTCTCCAGATGATATTAAAGTGTGGGAAAGAGCAACTATGTCATAAACGCCTTTCACCCTTTAGCATCTGCATATCCACACATACATTAAATATAGCACATAAAACTCGACATTAAACATACAGCAGAAAACTATTTGCTCATTTAAAATAACTTAATCTAAAATAAACCAGTAATGCACCAAAAAAGAAAAAAAACACACACATGCAACAGCGGGGTTTTCTCTTCATATTCACAACCAGGACGCATAAACTTGCGAGCTTTTGTGAATCGGCTGTCATTTAAAAAGCCCTAAATAAGAACCAAAGGGCTGTTTGGCCACACGACCTGCTTGGCATCAAGTGCAAAGTACAGCAAGACCACACACAGGGTAACGTTTGGCAGCAGTGCATGTTTGAAATGCACTATGGGCAGATAAAAATCACCGTGTGATAGCAAATACGGGTACCCGCGGACTAATGGAGGGAGGGATTGTTCACTCGAAACAGCGGTCAGAAATGAAACCGATATTCCCGAGGCACAGAGGTGGAGACCACTGGGAAAAACAAGAGACTTTTGCATTGGGTCACAAGCTCATTTGTCCTTTTTTTTCAGTAATGAGCTGCAGACCACAAACAAGGCTGAATTTTGACCCGACCCGGAGGGGTCCATTAAAGATGTGACGTGACGAGGCCATAAAAGTCACATATAAACAGTTTTTAATACGGAGGAATTAGCCGTGTAAATATGTTGAAGGCATCACACTGATAAAGGGCGAAACTTTGGTTGGCAGTGTTGTTACTGGATCTTTTTTTTTTTCATTTTAAAGACAGGAAGTGACGATGAAGTGTCAAGGTCTGCCCACCCCGTCGCTCATGTGGACAGAGAGTCTGACCTCACAGGTCAAATGTCAAAGGTCGTTGCTCATATATCATCTTCGACCTACTTTGACCTTAAAGGCTGTGAGTGATCGCGGCTTGGGTTTTGTACTTCCTGGGTCAGAGCCTCTCCCTCCATGTGCTGGGCTGTAGCGTGGGAGTCCGGATGAACGATCAAATGTGCAGCTGGATCTGGTACGTTTTGGCATCGTTGAGGGGGTGTGGCATCTCCATGCTGAGGTCACGAGAGGCAGTGTCCTCGTCCAATCAGAAGCCAGAGCAACGGCAGCTGCAGAATGACCATGGACATGATTGATGGACTCAGACCCGACGCTCCACCGCAATCCTCGTTCTGTTCCTGTTGCCATGCCAACAAGAGAAAGCCAATAAGTCTGCTGGGGAACTAAGTACCGTAGTGTGGGAATTACCGTAATAATGTGAAGTAAAACTTTATGCCTTTGCAAACTTGTAATAAAAGCACAAAATTAGGATTCCAGAGGAAAAAAATCCCATTGATTTTCTCCATAGACAATAGCCAATAAAAGTTGATTGCAAAATATTAAATACATAGAAATATGTATTGGCTATTATTATCAATGACCATAATTTATTTTGTTTCTGTTTCCATAATTACCTTATGCATATTCTTTACATAATGTTTTAAATATAGAGATTATATATGTATTATATTTGATTGTGATATTAATCGACTGACTGAAAAAATATTTTGAAAAATATTAAAACATATACATATCTCATACGGTCTCAATATTATAATCAATGACTACAAAGTTTTTATTTACTACATGGTTTTTTTTCCATAATTTCCTTTTGCATAATTAAACTCATAGTTTTAAACACACACACACATATAGCAGCAGAAAAATTATATTTAGCATACTATATATGATTAATTACAGTAATTGTGATATTATGTGAACACATCATAAAACATTTATCCCACTACAATCAATCTAAAAGCTTTATTTTTATTTATTTAAAAAAAAAAAGTAAATTAATGATTAAATATACTGTGATATGCTGTTGATAATTGATTAATTGCAGTTGGTGAATTAGTCAAGCGTAAGAGTTACATCAGCAGTTTAAGAAGCTGTAAGAAGCAACAGCTAAGCTCATTAGTTTGACTCATGCAAAATTAAATGCATGAGAGAAAGACATTAATCTGAATTATACAGAAACAAATAATAATAATAAAAAAAAAAAATAGAAAAATGAGAATGGAACATGTAGACATAAAGGACAGAAATGTGCCTGTTGATAGCCTTGTGTACTTGCACAAACTGCCAGTGCTGTTTTAGCAGTTGATTCACTAAAGGAATTCAGGTAATGAAAGAAATTTCCATTGAAAGGTGTGCTTGAAAAGAAAAAAAGACAATTGAAATGGCCAAAGTGCAGAGCTAAATCATTGCAGATAGCGGCTGTTTAAGCAAATTTGCGGAGACCTGAATACGACGAAATACAACAAACAAAAGTGACAAGTGTTTAGTGAATTTACTTCTAATTTGGCAGACAAGACAGATAGATCGATATAAATAAGTAAACCAATAAATAAATAAAATAAATAGAGAGAGAGGGAGATAGAGAGATGGACTGACCCGAGACAGCACATGAACACTGGCAGCAATAACATGAGCAGAGAGGAGAGCAGTGGAGAGCCTGCATTTCTCCTACACATGGCCTCATCCTAACATACGTTACCCAGCCAAATACACAGCACGAGAGAAAGAGAGAAAGAGTCATGCAGAAAAATGTTTGACAGTCAGAAGTTTAAGCAACACATGAACAAGTGCTTGAGCCAAAAAGCATTAATACTAAGTAAAAAGACAGAATTCAGAGCAGGAAAAGTAGGTGTGTTTAGATAAAGATACACTACTTGGTCAAAAGTATGTGGACACCTGAACATCCCTCTCATGTGTACTAGTTGAACATTTAAATTCAAAACCATGGACATAAATAGGAAGCTCAGCTTGTTCAAATTCATTCAAAAAGTGCTGAATGGGGTTCATGACTTGGTTTTGCGCAAGTTCTTCCATACTAGACTCTTCACATCTTCAAAAATGTGACTGGATAACCATACGCTTGATTTTAAACACCTGTTGTATCT